GATGGAATTTGTGAATGTAACTATTTGGTTAAATAACCCATGCCAGAATCCTCACATGGCACATTACAGGAGTCGTAAAGCGCACTGCTCACAGAGACTGGATAATGGGGGAAATGATGATAGACTCATCGCTAAAAAACAGATAAAAATTGTACAGAGAATGGATATAATTATGTAAGCAAACAAAAATATTATTCATAAAAAGCCCTGAAGAAAACATATTAAAATGTAAATAGTGGCTATGCAAAAAAAAAACAAAACAAAAACTCTCCCACCTTTTGTTTCAGAGAAGTTGAGTTCAATCTGTCTCCCCCATTGCAGTAGTCTTGAATCAAGTCTTCCTTACCTGTTTAACTTTGGTGCAGTTTTTCTTTGACAACAGTGAAAAAAGGGAAAGCTTCATGTATGCTCTGGTTGGAAGCTAGAAGGGGGCTATCTAGAGGGGCTTCTCCTATAATTGATTTAGGGCTTTCTCTGGTGGGTCCTGAGTTGGAAGGATGCAAACAAATAGGAAAGCTGACAGGCATTAACCAAGTGCTGACCTTTCTGGGCTGATTGCAGTTTGGCTATGGTTTGGCTACACAGGCTAGTTCCTCCAGAGGTTGTAGGTCCGGGTTCTACAACCTGATAAATAACATCAAACTGTTGACAGAAAATATCCAGCTTAAGAAAAAAACTTATAAGAGTTTATTTGAGACAAACTGTCGACAGTTGCCGGGAAGCAAAATCTCAACAGATTAAGAAAATGCTCCACAAAAGGCCGGTTTGCAGCTTATTTTATACATAAAATCAAAGGAGGAAGGTTACATGAAATCCATTGGTGATAGATTAAGAGGGTGGGAGAAAGCAAAGCGGGGAAACCTCTGGGATTGGATAAAAGTAAATTGGAGACACTGGTACTTCTTTTACATTGGTGGGTGCAGGATAGCTAACAGCTTTTTGACAGCATAAAGAGATGGTAATCNTTTTTAAAGCATTTACCAACCTTTCTGCAACATGCTTATCGATTTCCTTTAGGCATATGCCTCCCTGATCTGAAAAGTAGTAAGTTGAAGTACTGTTGAATTTGCTTCACAGGTTGTCCTGATCCAAGCAGAACAGAACCTTGTCATGGGAGGAGCCTGAGGAATCTTTTCCCCTTCGCATTGTCCTGGGAGTGAATCCAAAAGTGAAACTTGGGCATCCTCACTACTAAAATGTCTCTGAGAATGACTGGGTCTTGGCTTTTAGGTCTCACTGCCACCTCACTGAAAAATGTGATCATCTAAAATCGTCTTAGGTGGATGGATCACAGCAAGGACTTTCAGAAGCCGCCTGACCACTCAAATGACCATAAGTCAGATATCACAGTCCCATAACCACCATGGACCAGGCAAGTGTCAACCGCTCTTAAAACCTTTGTCCACGACCTCCATCACTTTGAGATTCATTACATTTGACTTGCTGCTCTTTATTTTGTTGATCGTCACCAGCACTTGATGTGGCTTTTGCTTTAAGAAAAGGGGAGTGGGGGGGGCAGGGAGAAAAAGTTTCTGTTAAAAGAAAAAGTTATACTCACTACAGAAAAGTTTGAAGAAATATTTTGTAGGGAAAAGAAAAATGGAATAAAAACAAAAACTCATCCATAACCCCAAATCTCTTTTTTGGTACGCTTGCAGTCTGGTTTTATTTATTTATTTATTTTTTTATGTGTATACAAGTATACATACACTTTTCTGAGCATAAATTGTATATACAGTCTGAGTGTTGCCTTCATATAAACAAACATGCACTGATGCTGCAACAGGACTGGTTGGGACCACCACAAAGGAGGCCTTGCAATGTCCCTGGCTTCGCCTCTCCCTCCCTAGAGCTTAACAATTGATCAACCCCCTCTCTGCGGTTTGAGTTTGGAATGTCCCCTGTCCCAGTTCCCTGCTTTAGATAATTACCTTGAAACTTATGCTTACTTACTAGTCACAATGCCCCTGGTGCTTGCCGATTACAATCTTCATGGCCCGGCATTCTTTCCAGGTTACTGTCATCACTGCTTCTGGGTAGGTGACCATGTTAGAGAGCCACATGGCCAGGGGGGAAGCGCCATGCTGACCCCTGGAACCNTCATTTATTTCTAAAGATGAAAAGCATTATCTGAATAAATTTATTTACCAACAGGCCCAATAAGAGTAAGTGAGCCTAAGAGTCTTTGCTGAAAGAATGACTGCTGTCTGAACTGTGAATTCTGTTGCCAAAGGTACCAATAGGCTCTTCATCTGCCGATGTACCAAGGATCCCTATTGAACAATATCACGTTAATTTTAGAACCAGATACAGAAATGTAAACTGTAGCTAATATGCTGAAATAGAAAAATTCCTCTTTATCACTCACTCCATTTTCCACAATTCTCTGCATCTCCTAAGTTTTAAAAGTGAAATCCTATTAATGTGTTACTTTAGTTGATTAATGTATTGATTCAATAGGTGTATTGATTCATTTCCTAATGTCAGAGCCACCTCGAGCTGTTTGTAGCCAAACGACTACAAATCCATCCTGGCCCCTGTTTGCCCCTCTCACTTTTCACCCCACTCTCCCCCTGCCCCAACATATATTTCTATTGCATTTGGGGGCATGACACTATGTGCTTTTCAAACTGATAAATGTTAAATCCCAGTAGCCAAAGACCAGCAGGAACACACCTGCAGTATAAATTAAGTTAGGTTTATTTATCTTGCTTCAGCAAGTTAGAATGTACCCTGCAATGCCTGTTAGCCGGAGAGTCACCACTGAGCAGTTCCTGGCATTCCAAAGGAAGAACAACAAACAAACCAAAAGCCATTTCTCAAATGCTTCCATTTTCCCGGTCTGATCTTTTGATCTACATTCCATTATCTTGGCAGCACCGTGGGCGTGGATTCAGAGTGGACACAAAACCCTATTCCAGAAGAACTGAAGTCAGATAATTTTTGTTTGTTTTTAAACTTCCTTGTTCCTTCACTTTGAGGAGCGTCCTTGGGAAAACAGACTTTGTTGGGCAGTTCAAAGGTGGGCAGTACCAGGGTTTGCGCCTCCGCTCTGGAGAAACACGGAAGGTGGAAACTGAGCTGAGAAGAGTGGATAGAACCAGAAATACGACAAAGGCAGCTGCAGGGTTAGAGTCCAGGGTAAAAAAAGAGGAGGAGCGATCCAGGGATGTCAAGCTTTTTGTCTTTAAATGGCTAGAAAGCTGTAAGGTGGAGGCCGTGAAGAGAGTGGCGGGAGTAAGGGGGGCGGGGTTCAGCCGCAAATGGGCCGGAGGTTGCTGGCTTCTCCGGCTCCAGAGGGCGGGGCGTCCGGGGGGCCGCGGTGGCCACACCCGCCCGGCTGCTAGTCCCGCGTTTTCGAGAACTCAGTGGGAGTTTGCTGCGTCAACCAGTGAAAAAACCAACGAATGAATGACCCTCCTACCAGGATGGGGGCCCCGGGTCCCCGCGGAGCTAGGTATACCACGGACTCTCCCGGCAGCTCGGAGCACGCGGGGTCCTTTCCGCACGAGAAGGGGCGCGGGGCTCCCCTGGCCGCGGGCGCCCAGAATCCCGCGGCGGCCGGAGGCCCGGGTGGCCCCCACGAGGACCGCCGGGAGGGAGAGAACCTGGACACTTTGTCGTGGGTCAGAGAGAAAGTGCTCTTTCTTTTTCACCCAGAGAGGGGTTTGGGGTCTCAAGGGGATCTTGCACGGGAAGAAGTGGCCGGTGTGGAGGACCTTTCCCAGGCGGGCGGAGACGACCAGGAACCCGACTGCCTTTCTCCTCGCTTACCACGAGAAAAACGACTTTCTGGCAGCGGTGCAGATGCTGCCTCCAGAGCTCCGCCGCGGGACTCCGCAGCCCCACCCAAATCCGTGCTCGTGCGGGTCGTGGATTATCAGGTGACACAAGAAGTCCAGTGGGCCAGGTGGACGAAGGGCTTCATGACCACGCGGACCGAGGAGCACTCCATGACCGCGATCGCTTTTCGCACCAACAAGGAGTGAAGCAGGTCGTGGGGCGCAAGGACCCCTGGAGAACGCCACGCGCTCTTGGCACAGAGAGAGGTACCCCGCGTCCACGACGCGGAGAGACGATCTGATCTTTTCACCTTCCCCAAGGACCTGATTTCTCAAGGAGATTAAACGGGAAGGAGAGGCCCGAGGAATATTCCGGGTTGGTGGGTGAGCGATAATCCTCTGGAAAAGAAAATGCTCTTCCGGAAACCCCAACCTGCAATTAACCAACAGCCAAGACCTTTTACGAGGCTGGCGCGGCGCTTCGGGGAGGCTGATGCTGTCACCCAATACAAACTGAAGAATAACTGTAAGCAACGTAATACCTCTTTTGTGGCTTAACTACTGTGAAGTCATTCAGAAGAGGGAAAGAAAAGGTATTTTTGAAATTAGCAGAATGTGGGAGTTTCGAATCTGTTGTTAATTCTCATTTTGCAGTACCTCTCAATTGATCTCTTTTCTGCCTCCACACTTTCTCTTAAGACCTAAAAGCAGAAATGAAGTTTGAGGTCTGTTCTCTGCAAAGGGAATGGGAGTAGATGGGGAGAGAGGTTTGTTTTAAAAGTTGACAGAGAAAGCAAAAAGAAATGGGAAAATTAAAACGAAGCATCAAGTAAACAGATTTTTTTCTTTTTACTCTCTTCTGATGTGCACATTTTTCTTTCTTTTTTTTTCACGTTTAAGTATTAGGAATAGAGGAGCTAGGAAAAGAAGGGAGAGAACAGAAAACTGAGCTTTGATGGTAAAATACCGTTTAAAAGGGCTTTACCCCAAAGTGTCTAATTTAGTCCAATAAAAATGCTTTTAATCTGAATTTTTAAATTATGTTACTGTTTAAAACACTGCAGGTAAATCTTCTGATAGATAGAACTGTATCCTTTGCCATAACATGACAATGTATCTTATTCTTGTCCATAGTTCTTCATGAATAAGATTTGCAGCCAAGACTGGATTGAAAATACACCTTTTCTGATGCTGTTGAAAAAAAGTTTCTTCTGGTGCTATGGAAACAGCTCATTTTTATTTTGTTTATTCCTCTTTTTTATTAAATACCATCTTTATTAACCCTTGAGTAGTGTGGCCTGGTTTGGAAATCTGTTAGGAGCAGCTTGACTGTATAGCACTGCTCTGAAGGGGTAGGATTCAGTCACTGGAAGAAGTAACAAGACGGGTGGGACTTGGCTTTCAGAGTAGTAAGCTATTGAGCAGTTCTCCCCCTGTCCCCCCACTCTTCTCCCTCTTTGCCCCTTGTTTTCAGTTTAGAACTTGAAATGCCCTCAGATGTCTGATCCACTTCTTGCCTCCTAGCAGACAAGATAGGTAAGGTATGTCCCTATTTTACAGGTGAGCCAACTGAGACCTAAAGGGCATGTTGGTTGTGTAGGTCACAGAGTGAGGAATGACATTTGCTTACTATTTTTTCAATAAATAGACAGGAATATGATCATCTCTCTCCTGAAGGTTGGAATGGCCTTTAGAAGGACTTTTAGGGAGTCAAAAGATAACTGAGGGTGTCCTGGTGTTTCTGCCTCATGTTTGTGAGAAGTACTATAATCACCTTGATGTGCCTGAGTTCTGCAAGGCCTGTTAGCCGGAGAGTCACCACTAAGCAGTTCTCAGGCCCATGAGGCCTTCACTTGAGTGAGGAATTCAGGACCTGAGCTCGTTTGTGTTCAAAACCGCTTGGTAGGTGGAAAAGGTAACATAGGCCCTGTAAAGTGAATTGTCGTTTTTCCTTCAGCATCCGTGCCAGACTCCTATGTGAGGTGAAACTTCTTGGCACACAAG